GTGTCCCAGAGACCCGCATTCCTCTGTAACCATAATGCGGCTTTTCGTTCTTGCGAAGTTCTGGTTTTGGTGATTTTATTTTAGTTTCGATTCGTTCCACAGTTAAAATAAACTCTGAGAAACTCAAATCAAATGAGCACTTCATGTTGTCAACTCGAGTTCTGTTTCAAGAACACACAGAACTAGTGATCTTTATGAGTTACGAAAGGTCAACTGTTTTATTTATCGCTTGAGCGCTCCAGAGTATAAATTCCGAAGTCATCCACTCTTTTGGAAGAAAGGAAATTTCCATAAGTATTGTTCTTCTTTGAGTATTTTTGTGTTTGCTATTGTGCAAGCCGAAAAATTCAAGCTATTATGTGTTGTGACTGACATAAAAGCAAAAGTAAACATTGACTTTGTACATGACGTCGGCTTAAATTTGACTAATTTCTCAGAGGTCTTTTAAAATTCCTTTTTCGTCTAACGAGGTCCGCCATGATCAATATCGCTGGAACTAAAAATAGTTGGAAAAGGGTTGTCTTTGGAAGCAGGGAAATCGTTTAAAGATGAACGTCGATTCCTAAACAACACAAGGAAGACCAAGGAAAGCGAAATTGGGAAATAGAAAGGGTAAATAATCTGCAAACGAGAAAATCACTTGTATTCACGCAGTGAATTTGACTTCAGACAAGCTGATATCGATTAAAAAAACAAATAGACTATTTCGCATTATTATTTTTCTACATCGCAATCAATTAAAATCAGGACGTAAGGGAGCAAAGTTGTGTGACAATATGACGCGAGTCAGATATCACGATCAGAAGTGTCACGTTGTGTGACGACCCCATACCAAGGAGAGATCTGGCTTTTCCCGGAGATTCTACATAAATGAGTTAGCGAAGATCAATGAAAGCAATAACAGATAATTCATTTCTTTTATATTAGCGTGCGAACAGGCTCCCGGTGATCACTCCACCTGCCATAATCAAGTGGCTTATATATCTGCCACAGGAGGTATTTTTATTTCTTCTTTCTAGCGGGGAGAGGGGGGGGGGGGNTAAACTTTTAATCATTGGATAAATTTTCATCGGCTATTTGAACCGGGCTATCTTTCTACTGCAGTTCTTGCCAAGTGTTTTTCCACATTGATGAGCTGTTTCTGTTTATATCATCGAGAGGCACCCCTCGATTTCTCAGTCATTTTGTACATCTTTTGCGTAGGTATTTTTCTTTTTGTTTTCTAAGATTTCCATTTCAAACAGCAAGCATCGTTCACAAACAGTTCTTAGGCCTAAAATTAAAATGGTCTGCGCCCGGGGTCTACGATTGATCGAATAATCCTAATCCTTAGCGCCGGTGTAAACACTATATCGAGGATTTTGTGACGCGTCCGGCTGCATTTACACCGCTCCCTGATTGGTTCCTGTGTTGGATATTGTCCAAGAATGATTGACATGTTTAATTTATGTCTAGACGAAAACATCAACGCTCGTTTTAAAAGTTCGTTTACACTGTTGCCAGCCAGTCTTTCTCTCCTAGGGTGTTTATCCCTGAACAAGAATGCATATAGGTCAATATGGACAAAAAGGGGTTTGACTGCCTTACCGATGTCTCATCCCCAACCCTTCTAGTCTGAAATTTCTAGCCTCATAAATACCAGTGAACGCGGGGTGTAAGTATTAAGTGAAACTGAAAATAAATGTATGTTCGCACCAGTCCGGGGCACCAGCGTCGAGATAATTTAATTTCAACAACTGTAACAAGAGTGACTCCTATTAGGAGCCAGTCGGTGATATT